CTAACCCTAACCCTAACCCTAACCCTAACCCTAACCCTAAACCTAACCCTAACCCTAACCCTAACCCTAACCCTTAACCTAACCCTAACCCTAACCCTAAACCTAACCCTAACCCTAACCCTAACCCTAACCCTTAACCTAACCCTAACCCTAACCCTAAACCTAACCCTAACCCTTACCCTAACCCTAACCCTTAACCTAACCCTAACCCTAACCCTAACCCTAACCCTAACCCTAACCCTAACCCTAACCCTTAACCTAACCCTAAACCTAACCCTAACCCTTAACCTAACCCTAACCCTAACCCTTACCCTTATCTTAACTTGAATCGGCTTGCTTTCAAAGCGCTATTTAAAGCGCCCTTCTTTCTCCGCGCTGGCTGTTGTCACCCTGCTGATGATGTCAGCGACGCGGTTTAATCGGGCGCGCTTTAGTCGAGCACGGTTTTGTCGTGCCACGACTAAATACACCCTCTAGACCTACAGCTATTAGAACAGTTATAGTTACAGGACCTTGCAAATCTGAATTCCCCAGCCAGCATGCTTTAAGATGAGTGGGCGTCAACTCCCAGAATTCCCCAGCCCACAGCCTCAAATGATACCTTTTCTCGTTATCCGGATTAGGGTTATTTGATGACGAAGACTTTCTCTTCTTCTGGTCTTTCTCTTTTTCTTTCTCCTTCTCTTTCTTTTCTTTCTTCTGTTTCTTTTTCTCCTTCTTCTTCTTCTTGACCTTCTCTTTCTTCGACTTCTTGGCGGCCTTGCTCCTGCCAGATAAATCAAGGAAAGGATTGACTTTCCCCCCCACTGTTTTGTGTTCCACACCAAATATCCTCAGTTAACGCCAAAGGGGACTTGGCTCATGTAGGTACCACAAATAATAATGATATGCTGCAGATAGTCCTCGACTTATGACCACAATGGAGTCCCAAATTTATGTGACCAAGCAAGAGATTCTTAAGTGTGTTTTGCCCCATTTTGCAATTTTTCTTGCCACAATTGATCAGTGAATCATTGCTAGAGATCTTCAGATTTCTAGGTTCTATTGTATCTCCCCTCAGGGAAAAGGGCGGCCTATAAATGTTTAATAATAAAACAAAAATAAATAAACAAAAAATCTCAAGACCTAAAACGGATACATCATCCAAAAAGCACCACAAAGGATGTTCTTTCTGTGCCAACTCAGGAAGCTCAAAAGTGCCCAAGGAGCTGCTGATTCTGTTCTGCAGAGGAATTATTGAGTCTGTCCTCTGCACCTCCATAACTGTCTGGTTTGGCTCTGCAACCCAACAAGACAGACACGGACTTCAGAGGAGAATCAGAACTGCAGAAAAAAACAATGGCTACCAATCTGCCTTCCATCGAGGACAATTGTACACTGCACGAGTCAAAAAGAGGGCTGTGAAAATATCTACAGACCCCTCACATCCTGGACATAAATTGTTTCAACTCCTGCCCTCAAAACGAGGCTATAGATCAGTGCGCTTGGGGCTGCTGCTGTGACGTCCAGGGAGGCTAAACCAAGCCGCGCGGCTTCCCTAAGCGCCGAGAACCTTCGCGCTCTTCTCGGCTCCTCGTGACCGCAACAGACATCCAGAAGCGGCGGGGGCTGTCGGGCTGGAAACCGAAGCCCCATTAGCCCCAAAAGCCGCTGCGCCAGCAAGGAGCTCACTTACCCCCTCGGCAGGTAGCAACAGAGAGCCAAGGGCTCTCTATAGGGCTCTTAAGAGGCGTGGGGCGGATGGGTGGGGGGAGCGAGCGGATGAGCGGTGTTCGGATGGGCGGGGCCCGGGGGGTGAGTGAGCGAGGGGGGGCGAACCGGTTCTAAATGGCGCACTAGATTTGTGGAACCGCTTCTAGCAAACCGGTTAGAACCGGCAGAACCCCCCACCCCTGATCTGCACCAAAGACAAATCCCTTGTGTGTCCAATCACACTTGGCCAATAAAGAATTGAATTCTGTTCTGTTCTTTATATTAGTAACATGGCTGCTGAGTGAATCTCGCTTCCCCACTGACCCCACTCCCTTTGCCACCTTCTGCTGGTTCAGAGGGTGGACAAAGGTGATAGCAATAGCAGTTAGACTTATATACCGCTTCATAGGGCTTTCAGCCCTCTCTAAGCGGTTTACAGAGTCAGCGTATCGCCCCCCACAGTCTGGGTCCTCATTTCACCCACCTCGGAAGGATGGAAGGCTGAGTCAACCTTGAGCCGGTGAGATTAGAACAGCCGAACTGCAGATAACAGTCAGCTGAAGTGGCCTGCAGTACAGCACTCTAACCACTGCACCACTCGGCTCTTCAATCACGTGAAATACCCCCCCCCCCCCGGGGACACAGCAACCGTCTTAAGTAAATGTCATCTGCAGCCTCTCACGCGATTAGAAATATGATTTTTTTTTATCACGTGGGGGGGCTACAAGTTTTGAAAAACGGTCGTCCTATTACCGTTGCAACTTTGAATGGTCCCTTGAGCACGCTGTTGTAAGCGAAAGGATTCCGTGCGTGGTTCAATAAAATAAAATAAAAAAGAAAATAATAAAAGTCAAGAGGGCGACTTACTCCAGCGCCTCCTTGCCTTCCTCATCCAGCTTCCTCGGAGGAGTTGAGGGCTTGGCAGTCTTGGCCGCTGGTTGATGCTGAAATTCCCGAGGCAAAAGAGAAACGGATTAAAAACAACAACAACAACAACAACCCAGAATTTAGGAAAGCAGCGAGACAACAACGCTGGATTCTGCCACAAAAACTGTGCGGCCACACAACTTACCGTAAACACGGAGAGGCCCAGCTTGGCAGCTTCTTTATCTTCCTTGGAAAACACCATTCTTCCACCAGCATTCCTAATAAAAAAAAGGAAAAAAGGAATTAAATAGCAAGGAGGGCTTAATTTTTGCTTTTTTTCTTTCTTTCTATTTTCCTTTTGCGGGTTCGTCATCCTGAAGGGAATTTTTTTTGTTTTCCAGAAATAAAACCCCTCGGCCTTGCTCAGAGGGTGCCAAAACGGGACATGTCTTTAGAAAGAGCCGTTATCAAGAGCTACTTACCTCCAACAGACCGATTAAATCCCACAGATTAGGCCTCCTCCGAATTCCATCCGCCGGACAATGCCGACTGGCGACTACCCGGAGGAGAGCCTTCTCTGTGGCTGCTCCGGCCCTCTGGAACGAACTCCCTATGGAGATTCGAACCCTCACCACCCTCCAGGCCTTCTGCAAAGCCCTTAAAACCTGGCTGTTCCGACAGGCCTGGGGCTCACGAGTTCCTGTCCCCGCTCGAATTGTGTGGCTGTTGATTGTTTTTAAAATTGTGGTGTTGTTTGTCCGTGTCTTTTTTTCCCCTGTTTGTATCCCCCCCCCCCTTGACTTGGTTTGTGAGCCGCCCTGAGTCCCTCTGGGAATAGGGCGGCATAGAAATACAATCAAATCAAATCAAATCAATCTACGCAGAATTCATCCTTGCCAACAACACACAGGTATATTCCTCGGCCTATAATTAGTGACTGTTCAAAGTTACGACGGCTCTGAAAAAAACTGATTTAGAATAGAATAGAATGGCAGAGTCGGAAGGGACCCTGGAGGTCTTCTAGTCCAACCCCCCTGGCTGAGGCAGGAAACCCTACGGCACTACAGACAAATGGCTGTCCAACATCTTCTTTAAAAACTTCCATTTAGGACCAGTCCTCGCACTTATGACCGTCATAGCACACACACCCCAGTCAAGTAATCCAAATTTTTGACATTTGGCAACTGATTCACAACCGTTGCAGTGTCCCCAAGTCACGTGGTTTCCCCCTTTGCGATCCGCCTGATGCAGATCTGTCACGACCGCCGTAATGGCAGTGGGAATCTGGCCTGTTTCTCTGAAGGTCATCCTACACCACCATTTCTAAATTTCAGCAACGTTAAAGACATATGGACTCCAACTCCCAGAATTCCTCACTCTGGTGGCTCCTCCCAGGAGATGGGATCTAGGTCCGTGATGGCGAATCTATGGCATGTGGAGCCATTTCTGAGGGCCCGGTCAACTCCAGTGTGCATGCGCACGCTGACCAGCTGGTTTTCGGCTTGATTTTCGGCTGTTTTTCCCCTTCCGGAGGGAGAAAAACAGCCCAAGGGGCAACCAGGAAGTCTGTTCCCAAGCTTCCGGTTTGCGTGTTGGGCCATTTTTCACGCTCCAGGAAGCCTCTGGGGCCTGGGGAAGGCAAAACAACGGGCCTACGGGGCCCACCGGATGTCAGAAAACGGGCCGTTTCTGGCCTCCCCTCCAAGGGGTCGGGGAAGGCCGTTTCTGCCCTCTCCAGGCTCCAAAAAAGTGCATGCGCGGTGCAAGGGTGTGTGTGTGTCACGAGCACATGCGCAGGGGCACGGCGCAGGGGGGGGCATTAAATTATGAGGGTGGGCATGTGCACATGCATGCACCTGCTTATGGCACCTGAGGTGAAAAAGGTTCACTTTCATTGATCTAGGTGGTATCAAGAGTTCAATGTTCAATGTTTATTACACTTGTATGCCGCCTTATTCCTGAGGGACTCAGGGCGGCGAACAACTCAAACGGGAAGGGGAACATACAAATACAAGACAGGCATTTAAAATGGCCAGCAACCACACCTGTCGAGCGGGGAAGGGAGCTCATCAAACCCAGGCCTGCCGACACAGCCAGGTTTTAACGGCTTTTCGGAAAGCCAGGAGAGAGGTGAGGGTCCGAATCTCCGCGGGGTCTTCACGTAACCCTTGGAAGAAGGGCTGGGCTCTTCTGGAGGGGTGAGAAATTGCAAGGAGGGGGGGTATGGATGAAGTAGCAGCAAGCCTTCAGATGGGTTTCTTTTCTGGAGGGAAGAAAGGAGAATATTTGTGTTTCAGGGTTGAAGTGAGGGGTGCTCTTGAGCTTGGTGGTTTTCATGCAGATGTTTCATGATCCAATTAGGGAACATCCTCAAGAGATGAAGGAAGGAAGGAAGGAGGGAGGGAGGGAGGGAAGGAAGGAAGGAAGGAAGGAAGGAAGGAAGGAAGGAAGG